TGAATATTTTTTTTAGTTATACTATTAATAATTAATAATTAATATGTAATTAATAGTAATTATTAATTACAACTATAATATTAATTCGAAATCAGAACAAGTATTCGCTATAAATTCCCACGGGGACTAGCAGAACTCAACAAAGTTACCACTGACGCAATTAAATGGCTCGAAGACTTAGATATTATTATGTAGCCACCCTATTCAACAACCTATATTACCCATCTAGAGTATTATGATATTGTACTTCTAATATCTAAATGTTAAATTCTGTTTGAATTGGTTGAAACGTCATAGTGTTTATATAGTCGACATGTAGACTATAAAGAACCGTCAGTCGTATGGAGCCAAAATAATATTAATTTAAAAATATAAGAAAAACAGTAGATATATTTACTCCAATAATTCACATTTTGTCCATTTTATGGACAATAACGATTTTGGGTTTAAAATTTGAAAACGTTTACTCATCTACCCTTACAATCGTGAAAATTCAACACAAAACCACACGATATTTCAATTTTCAACTTTATCCTGCTGTAGTTTTAAGAAAATGGTCGGATCAACTAGAAATTTATTGGTAGTATAACACTTTTAAGTGGTTCCCAATAGTGATAAGAAAACAGGAAATAGAAAAAAAGATATTGGCCTATGATGTTTTGCCCTATGTTTCAATATGTCTGTTCACTCACTTCGACTACGGAAATATATCATCATTGATATAAAATTGTTTTTATTTGCATTACATATGTATCTAAGTCCCAAGGCACATAATATGCCCAGTGCACTTTGTTATTGTTGTAAGATGCATATTGATTTCATGTTTCCATGAAAATATTATTTTGAAAGAATAATTAATATAAAAAATCACATTTACACGTAAACGAGCTGCACTCTACTTTAAGTATGAAATTCAAAACAAAACGCTAAAAAAATTAAAGGAATTGATTATGATAACCTAAAGTTATCTGTAATAACTCCTTAATCTCCTAAATTATATACGTTTCATTAAGAAAATTTCAAAATAAATTATTCTAAAACATCCATATAAAAAAATATATATAACAAAAAATGAATTTGTTTAAGATATCATCATAATAACAATTATAAAGAACATTTGAAATAATTATTTTGAATGATGAATTGGTATATTATATAGCATTATGTACAGTGACACTATGTAAATGTTCACAATATTTACTAAAGAGAACTTCAAAATCAATGCACAATGAATTAAATAAACGTTACAATTACAATATACAAATATTAAAAACGTTGAACGAAAATACAAATTAGTTCAACTTAAATTGTTTACATTTTATTGCTTTTATTAATGTTTGAACAAAACAAATCAATGCCTTAGATGCGTTTAAATACAATAGTTAAAAATATTATAACGTATATTAAATTATAACAAAAAAAAAACAAAATGTATAATAAATAATCGTTCATTCAAACCACAAAAAAATTTAATAACTCTATATTTAGCACTTACATATGTCACTGATGAAGCCGTTCATCTGAAAATAAAATATCACATTATCATACTATCAATGGTTTTAGCTACTCTATTTACCATTTAATTTTATCAACGTACACCCAAAAATATTTTTTATAATTAAATTTATATTATTAAAACTTGAATGGGGTATTATATTTAAACTATTTATATGCCTTGAGGTTACTCCCATTTGGATATCTTGACTGGTTTGCCATCGTTTCGAAACACTTTCATGTTCCATCTTCAATCAATTCAAGATATCCAAATGGGAGTAACCGCAAGGCGTGTAAATAGTGAAAATATAATTTACATGTCTCCAGTAGATGACTTCAATGGCGAAGCTAGGACAATATATTTAAACATTTTAAGACAAATCTGTCTTTATAGGTATTAATGATTAACCATTTTGAACAGTTTATACCAGTCACCAGAATAATCACTTTTAACTATAATGAAGCTTTGTTAAATTTGCATTTAAAATAAGCATAATAAATATTATAAAAATAAATTTAACATTACGACAATTCGTGCAGTCTGAAACAAAAAATGTTTATTCAATTACTAACTGAGTTATAAAACATTAAATTAGTATACTTAAGTATAATATTGCACATGGATTTACTAACTGAAATATATTTTGGATAAATTAAGATTGCTTCTAAAAATTTCGGATTTATGTATGCTGTTTTTTTTTTTAACTGAATTTTTAAACATTTATCTTAAAATCATTTTTTATTTTTGTCAAACATAATATATTAAAAAAAGTATTTTAACAGTTCTTAGTTTATATCCATTCCAAGTTTAGTTAGGTCAGTATCGATTAAAAATAGATTATTGGGATGTTTTTTAAAAATAAAAGTATCTGGTCGTTCCAAATTGTAATTAAAATAAATAAATACGACATAGATAATACATTAATGTTAAGTTTATAAATTAAATATATTAGCTCTTACTTAGTCCACTTAGCAAGTTGTTAACTAAAATAAAAAAAAAATAGTAAAGGAATATAATTAAAAAAAAAATTAACAATAAAAACTAAGTCTTAACCAATGCAGTAAATGCATCACGAACACACATATATATATATATATATATATATATATGTATACAATAAAAATTGTATTATATAAATGTTATTTAATAATTAACCGATTGGAATGGAAATATTATCACAACACATCTTTTGTCCGACTATTCGACATGTTCAATGGAAAATTTATTTTAACTTTGATTAGTTAGTGAGTTATATTTTATTTACATATTAATATTAAAAATAAAAGTAACATTTTAATTAAAAATATTCGTATTACCTTTACAATACGGGCATTCTGAAAAAAAATGTGTTTATTTAATAACTCAAAAAAATAAAAATTATAGGAATTAAATATTTTACATTTGAAAGGAAAAATAATAGATTTTTTTCTATTCTATCTATTAATTAAAATAACAAAGGTTTGGCCTTAATTTAATTTAATTATTAAACTATGTTGCTTGGACAATGGTATAATCTTCCAACCATAGTAATTTTATAGAAAGTTCTATATTTTATTAGGTAATTTTTCCCGTGCTTTAGACATAAAATGTTTGGTTAATATTTAATTTTTTAAACAAAGTTGTATGCCTAACAACAAATCTTTATCACATAATTTACAGGTTAAGAACTACAAAAAAAATCGTCTACAAATGTATTTATAAATACACGTGTATTTAAAAAAAATTATTTTTGTTATTAATTTTAGTTTTAATTTTAATATCACGTCTGTTTAATTATACAAACTCAAACACAAGTATAATTGTGTAAATGCGTTAACTCAAACTAAAGTGTTTGACAAAATTAATTTTTTTAAATTACACGTTTAAAATCACAAGCTCTAGTTATAATGCCTAATCCATAACATATAACAAATTTACATATGTACATACCAATTGTTAAGGTTCCTATAATATAAACAAGTTAAATTGATAAATTAAAAAAAAAAACACAAAAGGTATTTGTTATTTAATATTTTATAGTTGGGTAAATATTTTAATTTTTGTTGTAAAATAAATTACTATGCTAACTTGATAGGGTTTTATACTAATATTCTAAGAAGATAAAGTAAAAATGTATTGTAAGCTTTTTGTTTTAATTCCTGAATTAGTTGACAAGAACTGTTGTGCAGCGGAACTTTTGAAACAAATCCTAGTTAAAAATCATATTGTAAGAATCGTCATTTAATAGCGGCTCGTGGGATATCGAACGGATTGTATGAATTATGGACAATTGATGTAGGTATCAAAAAGTGGTTGTTTACGCAAGATTTACCCTAACATTTAAGTAATTTAATCATTAATGGATCGGAATGGAAAATCACGTTTAACTTTGAACAGTCAATTAATAGTATTTTATATACATATTTTTTTTATAAATAAAAAAAAAAATGTTTTTACCTTTGCCCTTATTGCCTTCACCTGCATAAAAAAAGTGTTATTTATATACATAATAAAGTGAATTAAATTAATAAAATAGGTATCTCATACAATTGAATTAAAATATCAGAATGAAGATATTGTTGATTTTAACATAATGAATTGATCGGTGAATGAAAATGCTCATCTTATCTTACACGCCACATATCAGTGACAAAAATGCATATAGTTAATAATGTATTTAACTAACAATAATTAACTAGTCCAGTCGACTACAACAAAAAAAATGTTAATAATGTGTACAGTTAACTATGACAACACGATTTTTCCATAATTAAGTAAGCTAAAATAGTAAAGTAAGTTAAAATAACGCATCTTCTAAAAACAAAAAATTATATTTATACACATTAAAAATAAAGTAAATAATTAACAATTTGTATTATGTTCAAAAACAAACAACAAGATTTGCACTCAATCTTTCGTCGAAAACAAAACATGTTTTTTTGTATCAAAAAGTTTTTGTTCAAGTTGTTACACTAATATTAAGTGTAATATAGTTTATTACACTAATATATTATAAGCTGTTATTTGATCATTAACGGATGGGAATGGAAATCCTCGTTTTACTTTGAACAGTTAGTTAAAAGTATTTTATTGACATATTTTTTTTTAATAATTAAAAAAAAAAATGTTTTTACCTTTGATGCTATTGCCATTATTACTACCACATCCTCCTGCATACAAAAAGTGTTATTAATATACATGATAAAGTGATTTAAATAAATAAAATAGGTATCACATAAAATTTAGTACAAATATCAGAATAAACATATTGCTAATTTTACCATAATGAATTGATATTAATTGTTTGGATGATGAAAACGCTCATTATAATACATTACGTGCCACATTTCAGAGACAAATATTAATATAGTCAACAAGTAAGTAGTAACTGCTAAGCATATTGTTCCATGCTTATTATCGAACAGTTATAATGGTGAACCAAATGTGAGTTAAAAATAATAATGTAAGAATCATCATTTAATAGCGGCTCGTGGGATAACGAACGGATTGTATGAATTATGGACATTTATATTGCAGCGTTTCCAAAAATCAAAACTATGAAATTATATAAAAAACAAAATAGACATTCGAACAAAAAAAACTACAAAAGCATACATACCGGGGTTAGCACCTTTTGGTTTACCATATGTTTTTTCGTGTTGGTTAATGTAACTGTAACCATCAGTTACTGCAGTTGCTGCATACAGTAAGTGTTATTAATACAAGGTATTAGATATTTTAACAATCAGTTCATAAATGACATAATGCACTGAACAGATGATTTGCCCTGTTTTTTATCATCTCCATAAAACAAATGGTTTTTATACATAATTAAATGAAATAAATAATATAATTATACCACATAAAACCTAGTTCAATTATCAGTATTAACGCATTGTTAATCTTAACGTATAAAATTAATACAAGTTTTTCTGTGAGTGGATGATGAAAACGCTCATCTTATCTTTCATGTGGTCAATCAAACACAAACGATATTAATTATTATATTAAATTTACAATAAATAATAAGTTAACTAAACGAACTTAGTTTACTACTCGTAATTGTTTAAATTGATGAGATTTTATTTTTTTAAAGTTTTGACAAGACAATAATTTTCTATAATTAAGTAAGCTAAAATAGTTACAGATACATACATACAGCTTTCATAATACGTGCTCTGTCGTCCTTATCGACTGTATCAACTCCTGTATACAAAAAATTATATTTATACACAATAAATGCAAAATAAATAGATTACAATATTTGTATTATATTCAGAAACAAACCACGCGAATTTTCCATAGTTTAAAAATTAAATAAACAATAAATAATTAAACAACTAAATGAACTTAACTTAAATTTTAATTACTACTTGTAATTGTTTAAATTGATGAGATTTATTTTGTTGAAAGTTTAGACAAGACAAGAGTTTTCTATAATTAATAAGGTAAAATAGTGACAGTATACATACCGAAAGCTTCGCTAATACGTTCTTCTTTGCTTTTGGCTCCTGCATACAAAACAATTATATTTTTACACAATAAAAGCAAAATAATAAGCTTTTAAAATTTGTATTATATTCTAAAACAAACAACAACAACAATAATCCATATTTTGAAAATTTCGACTTTAGGTAAGCTAAAACAGTAAAGTAAGTGAAAATAATGCATCTCCCGATTACCAAAAAATGTGTATTTATACACAATTAAAGCATAATAAATAAGTAACAATTTGTATTATGTTCAAAAACAATCAACGAAATAAAACTATATTGTATTAAAAAGTTATATCCGTGGTCTGGTAATCAAAACAATAAAACATTATTAAGAGTTCACATTGTTGTAAAGGTGTTACACAAAAATACAAGTAGTTAGTAGAGTTTTCCATAATAACCTTAATACAATGTACAGCATGTAGACAATGTATTTGCAGTACAACACAGTTGTCTCCACAGTTTTTTAATTTGCTCAAAAATCGTTAAGTTCACATTGTTGTAAAGGTGTTACACAAAAATACAATAACTTACAAAAATAGTTTTTAAAAATGTAGGTTTACGTTACTTTAATGGGATAAAATATATTGTTCTATTAAACTTTGTAAGGTCAAATCATAGATTTATTTTATAAATCAATTATAAAAGTACTTTTACTGTAAACGAAAATGTTTTTTTTTAAATATACTTAATAAAATGCTTATTAAAAGCTTTTTGAATTGGCAATACTTGGGTCAACTACCTAATCATATAATTAACTACTTTAAGTATAAAATCATAATAATTTCGTTTCTGTTAAAAATATATTCATCGCGAACAAAAATACTTATATACGTTTATACAATAATCATATTATATATATGTGTTGTTTAATCATTAACGGATCGGAATGAAAAACCTCGTTTAACTTTGATCAGTTAATTATTAGTATTTTATTATATTTTTTTATTAACGTAAAATAATAGCATTTTTCTATTTTATTTATTAATTTTAATAACGATGGTTTGAACAAAATTTAATTGAACAGTTATACCTACACCGTTGCTTGGATAATGGTATAATTATCCAACCATAGTAATTTTATAGAAATTTCTATATTTTATTAGGTGATTTTGCCCCCATGCTCTAGATAAAAAATGTCTGGCAATTAATTGTATATATATAGTTTTAAGCCTAACAACAAAATCTTAATTACATCATTTGTAGGTTAAAAACTAGAGAAAAAATAGTAAGTTTTATTTTAAGATTATTCTATTCATTGAATTTTTAAACAAAAACTGTTGTGCAACGGACTGAGAAAAATATTTTTTCTCCGTCTCTTATGTCGGCCTACAGTCAAATATTATCTAACAGTAATAATAGTGAAATAAATCCGAGTTAAAAATAATAATGTAAGAATTATCATTAACGGATCGTATGAACTATGGTAATTTATATAATATTCAAAAAATCCAAATTATAATTCACACAAAAAAATTACAAAAAAACTACGAACGCAAACATACCGGAATTAGAACCTTTTGGTGTACTCCATACTTTAGATACTAGGCCATCGAAACTTTGACCTTCACTATTTTCTGCATAAAGCAAGTGTTATTAATACAAAATATTAGATATTTTAACAATCAGTTCATAAAATATGACATAATGCACTGAACAGATGATTTGCCCTGTTTTTTATCATCTCCATAAAACAAATGGTTTTTATACATAATAAAATGAAATAAATAATATAATTATACCTTATAAAACTTTGTTCAATTATCAATATTAACGTATTGTTAATTTTAACGTAAAAAATTAATACAAGTTTATCTGTGAGTGGATGATGAAAACGCTCATCATATCTTTCACATGGCCAATCAAAAACAATCGAAATTATATTAAATTAAGAATAAATAATTAGTCTACTAAATTAACTTAGCTTTACTACTTGTATCGGTTTTAATTGATGAGGTATATTTTTTTGAAAGTTTCGACAAGACAAGAGTTTTCTATAATTAAGTAAGCTAAAATAGTAACAGTATACATACTGATAGCTGCACTAATACGTTTCCTTTCTTCAGCATCTCTGTCCTCTAATCCTACATACAACAAATTGTATTTATACACAATAAAAGCAAAATAAGTAGATTACAGTATCTGTATTACGTTAAAAACTAAAAACAAGAATTTTTTATAGTTAACCTAAAAAAGTTACAGTATATCTACCGAAAAAGCGAACATTGTCATTGACCGCAACTCCTGTGTACAAAAAAATGTTTTGATTTTATTTAATCATTAGTAGATCAGAATGGAAAACCTCGTTTAACTTTGAACAGTTAATTAATAGTATCTTATTTACATATTTTTTTTTTATAAATTAAACCAAAAATGTTTTTACCTTTGCAGTTATAACTACCACTTCCTCCTGCATACAAAAAGTGTTATTAATAATCAAAATAATGCGAATTAAATAAATAAAATAGGTTTTTCATATAATTTAATTAAAATATCAGAATAAACATATTGTTCATTTTAACATAATTAGTTGATACTAATTGATGGGCAGATGAAAACGCTCGTCTCATCTTATTCGACACACATCAGAGATAAATATTAATATTGTTAATAATGTATAAGCCTAACAATAAGTAACTAGTCTAGTCGACTTGGAAAAGGAAAAATAAACTTAATTTTACGCCTACTGATAGTAGTCTAAATTTATTAGCTTTGTTTTTTAAAAAAAAAGTCTCAACTATACTAGAATTCTCCATAATTAAATTAACGTAATTTACCAGTATTATTTTTGAATTAAAGGTTAAAATGAAATATGTTTGCCGTCTCATAAAAGTAAATATGTATCAAGAGGTACACTAACTTTACAACAATTTAGGAAACTTCATTTAAAATAATTTACCTGTCCCACTGGGTCTTCCATTAACGGCTGTAATACATTAAATGCATTAACATAATTTAAACACACAAACATTTCAAATAATTTTTACACAGCACATTACAATAATTAAAAAATATGTATCTTATTATTTTGTAACATAATGATATGTACTATAATATAATAAGTTGGCAGAAAACTAAAATATATTATGTTACCTGTAATTGCTATTAAGACAAAAAGTGATACGATGGTCAGTGTAATGATTTTTTTAAAATACATCTTGTAAAACAATAAGAGACTGAATAAGAAATAAAATATTTTGTGTAATAATATATATATATAATATGACGAAACCCTCCACTAAGATGTTTATTATGTTCAAAAACAAACAACAAGATTTGCATTATTTATTTTGTAACCAAACCAATAAAAAATGTTTGCCTACCCAAGATTTATGCTTTTTTTTTTTAAATATGCGATTTATACAATTGTCAAATTGAATCAAACTGTACCCCAAGGTGTTTGGTAGTACTTGTTGAGGGAATTTGGTCATTATTTAGACTCAATACTCAATAAAGAACGGATTACAATCCCAAAATTTGTAATACTTGGGTCATCCGCCTAATCATATTATTATCAACTACTTGAGTAATAATACGAAATACACTATTTGACTATTCAAATTATGTCATTTTAAGGACTTAACAAAAGTAATAGTGGTGCATTATTTTAATAGCTACGAATATTTTACTAATTAAAGAGACGGGAAGGTCACAGTTCTTCAGGAGATTTTATAACAGAGAGTGATGAAATCACTTAAGTAATAATTTTAATAGTTGACTCGTTCACTCTAATTTGTAAAAAAAAGCTATAAAATGTTTTAATTATCGAGGCCAGATCAAGTTGAAATTTAAAAGAAATATTTATACGGCGTGCCCCTCAAATCTAAATAATAACCATTTCCCATCAACTCTCCAATACACCTATTTAGATTAGGAAATTGGATGTGAATCTGTAAGCCTTTGTTACAAGGCATAGAACTTTATCTGTTAAATTATATAAATGCAAAAGAAGCAAATTTAAATTTTACACCAGCACAATTACTACAGAAATTTCGGGCCTCTAGGCTGTAACCTATTAAGCTTGCGTTTAAATACGGCCCTGGCAGGGTGGTAATGATTTTTTTAAAATACATTTTTATAAACAATGTATAACTAACTGAAAATTGAACGACTCGAAGAATGACTAAGAAATATTCTGTGTAATTTGTATACTTTTTTTAGACGATAACAAACATGTTTTTTTGTGTCGAAAAGTTGTTGGCAACAAAATATTTACAATAAATATATATTTTACAAAGATATTCTTAGTTCGGTAAAGAGTATAATAACATATTTTTTAAAGTTCTTGTAAATATGTTTTACATAAAACACAATATCTTGAAATAAGAAAAAAAAAAAAATGCGTCACTTTAAACGGATTAATTATTTGTTGTTCTTAGCCATAATAGGTAAAATTCATAGATTTATTGTATACATCTAATTAACACATGTATTATTGATTGAATTGAAACGTTTATTTAAATATACTCAATCACAATAATTGCCGGCCTAAAATAATATATTCTACGTATATGTGCAGTAGGAAAATATCGCTACTATTAAGCTATCTCTTATTGAGCTATCTCTCACCAGAGAGAAGATATTATTAAATTTCATAATTGAATAGTAGTAATATAATATGCTAGACTAATGCTCTTTTGGGGTGTGCGGTTTGATGATCAGATCAGGGGGGTTAGGTGGGGTTAAGTGCGTTAAAATATATTTTTTTTTTACTTATTTCTTTATATTAGCTTACTTTTTAGGTTTATGATTTCGCTAAGGGTATCTGTTTAAGGTAAACAATTAGTAATAACAATATACCCTTTTAGTATATAACCCAATATGTACAATATTTTTTCAATAATTCAGCAATTTAAAGGCTGTTGTAATATTTACACATTAGAATAAATATCTATTCGAATTGTAACTTTGAATTATGTCCTACATAGTTTTTGCTAAAACATGTGTTAAACATATATTTTTTTTTAATTTACAAATTATAACGAAAAAAAAAAACGGTGTTTATTTAGTGCAGTCTCTCGAGGACAATTTTACAGGCCAACATACAATTATTGTACTGACTAATTAAAATAAAAAAAGCCAAACCCAGTGTGGTCAGTACATAATGGAGGCGACGAGGTTATAGTTCTTTAGAAGGTATTGTAACTGAAAGTAAAAGTTCACCCTTTCACTCATATTCTCGAAAAACAAAAAAAAAACTATAAGATTTTTCAATTTTTAACTTTTACCTACTTCAATTCCGAGCCAAATGTTCGGATCGAGTAGAAATGTATAAATAATATATATTTAGTGTATTCCATAAATCTACAATACAACCATTCCTACCCCCCTCCCCCCACCGATACCTATTTAGATTATGAAAAGTTTAGATACGAAACTATGGATTCTATGCTAATTTAGACTGCACTTGGTTTGAACTGCAATGGTGTAGTCTGTGCTGATTTGTACTGTAGCTGTTTTTTAGCTGTATAATTTGCAGATCATGTTGTCTTTATCAACAAAGTTTACATGCTAATAATGGATATTAATATCTTTTATTACAAATATAGCTTTGGGCGAATCCAACTACTAAAACTTTTAACCTTGTCCTAAATTCATTATCTAATTAAATATAAGTTAAACTTGGTTATATGCCACCGAGAGTCTTTAATAAATTGAGATGGAATTTTTAAGGTGTTAAGTACTGTTATGAATCAACCGTGAAGGTAAAAAAATTATCACTATTTGTGCAGTGCTACTTATTTTTTTAAAAAAACGGTATATTTACACTATTATATAGATGGTTCTTAGTAGTTATAGAAAAAAGTTATAAGACAAAAATGTTTGTGGTGGTATTTATTTAATTCATGAGCAGGCCTCTTCCCTCCCATTGATCACCTTTTGTTTCATTATGTCTATAACAAGCTCTGGACTTGTGTGCTGTTGTTTTCGACGTTATTGTTCTTAAAAACCATACATCTGCTTTGAATACCGAAATATATCATTGAAAATAAAATTTTGGTTTTGTCAGCTTCAGGTATGTACTAGTGATATTATTGTATTTTGCATATTTTTTTTCAAGTTACTATTGTATGCTTTGTCTGCTAAAAAATGTTTCTTATAGAACAAATATAAAAACACATTTCCATGTAGGTAAGCGAGATGCGCTATAATTTAGGTAAATATATATTTTTTTTAATTTACAAATTTTAAAGAAAAATAACTGTGGGTACACAGTACATAGTGTTCGAAGGGCAATATACGGGCAAACATAAAATTGTGCTCACTAATAAAGCCAACTTAGACCTACGTAAATTTCGTGAAAAAGTTTGGAATAAGTTGAAATTTATAAGGTACGCATAAATATTTGTTGTATCCCTTAAATTTACAATATAACCATTTCCAACCCCCTACACCAATTTAGATTATATACAACACTTCGATGTGAATCTGTGAGTACTATGCTGATTTAGACTTCACTTGGTTTGGACTATACTGGTGTAACGATCATATTTCACTTGACCGTTACTTCGCGTCCCAAACCAACTGACACAGCACCCCCGACTATAGGTAGGGGAACGGTCGCACACACAGGACAATGCACGTCGCGTATCATCTAATTAACCAGTTGACTTTACCATCACGGACCGCCAATATCCTCGACCTTGCGCTCTATATTTTTGCCGTTTTACTACAAGCCGCCCATCCGACTATCTTTTGTGTGCGTCCGTTTCAACTCCGCTTTGACCAACCATTTCATCGTCCAACCCAGGTCAGAGTGTATATATATATATATATACATTGTATAATTTTGTATTTTATTTAGAAACCCTAATTTAGAATAAAACATCTTGTAGCCTGCAGCTGAGAGTTAGATTATTTAACAGTGTGACCGCCCGCTCCTCGGGCGATATATTAAGTTAATAAGGGAGACTTTAAGGCCAATTAGACGTAGACAACGGCCTAGCCAACCGTTTTCCCGTGGGGATCCGTCTATTTTAGCTTTATCGACGGCCACTTTGCCTAGTCTAGCCAGCTAGACAAGTAGGTCCGTTACGACTTGGTGGAGGCGCCGATTGCCGTTAGTTTTATTTTTTACCCTGGGGGAGAACCCATTTTGCAAGGGAATAAGCTACGGCCACGACCCCATAAAACTGCACTGATTATTTAATTCACTCTCGGTTTGTGTTAAGGTGTTTTATTTTACGGTACAAATTGCTCTGGAATTTTAAAGTATATTTTATTCAACTTAAAATACGTTATTTTTTTTATTCAATTAAAAATTAATTATGAATATCACTCCGCAATGCTTTTCCGGTCAATTGACCGAAGATATTAAAGATTATCTAGAAACTTACGATAGGATATCGGCTGCGAACGACTGGAGTGAGGCGCAAAGGCTAATAAGGTTTCCGCTATATTTAAGAGAACAAGCGAAAAAGTTGTATAAAAGAATAGAATCTAAAAGCGCAGATTTAAAATGGGCAGATTTGAAAAAGGAATTTTTAGAGTATTATAATTCAGAGGAGCAACGTATACATTTGAGAGAAAATTTGAATAAGAGAGAAAAACAGGAGGAAGAAAGTTTACAGGAGTATATTCTGAATGTAGTTACCGAATGCAGTCGAGTGAACGATACAATGAGTGAAGAGGAGATTACGAAATTAGTATTGAAAGGATTACCAGAGGATGTTTATTGGAAAAAATATACATTAGATAATTCGTCAGTAGAGAAAATAACGAAAAATGTAAAGGCGTATGAAGTTGCTAAGGCGATTCGTAAGAACCCTGCAAAGGAGATCGAGTTTTTGAAAAGAGAGATTGGGGTACTTAAAGTTAGCAAAGATAACGATATTAGTGATGAGGTAAGACTATTGAGAGAAGAGCTTGAGGAACTTAAAGCTAACATGAATAATAGACCGTTTAAAAGTAATGGTAATTTGAGAAGAAATTTTAATAATTATAGAAATAATGGCAGTAAATTTAATGGTAACGGTGAAGGTAAACATTTTAACAAGCGCGATGATAATAATGATTATAGGAATAGAAGTTATCATAATGACGACGCCGCATCCGATAGCAGATATGGACGAAATAGACCTAGGAGTAATTCTGATTATGGTAGAAGTGAGGAAGACGATTTTGATAACCATAGTGAAAACGATTACAACGCGCGTTTTAGGAATAATGATAGACAAGAGAGTAAAAATTATAATACTCCACTCCGAGTAGAAAACATAGGTAGCTGTGTAATTAATAATGCAGATTATAAAGGGAATAATCCAGTAATCATAGGTGTTTTAGATAATGTATCACATCATTTTACTGTTGACTCAGGCGCGACCACTAGCGTTATTAACGAAAATATGCTTCCCAAAAATCATGTAATTAGTTCTTACGGGAAGACAAAATTATATACAGCCAATGGTTCAAAATTAGATTTAGTTGGCAGGTCAACTATTAAAGTATATTTTAATAATATTCCTGTAAAAATACAATGCGCGGTCGTACGAAATTTGAATTGTAATAGTCTTCTTGGAGTTGATTTTCTAATTAAATATAAGGGCGTAGTTAACTTTGTTAAGTCAAAAATACAACTTAACGTGAATAATAAGGAAATACACATCGATTTTTTTAAAAATGATAATAATGGAATTAATATAAATAGGGTTGAAGATAATAACAACAATTGTTATTATATGGCTAATAAGAATGTGAATAATAAAAATAGTAGGATTAGCCAGAATACTAGGATTAATAATGGTAAAAGGAATTTTAAGAATTGTGTGCATAGTAATCATAGCGCTAATAAGAATATTAAGTTGGGTAACTTTAATTATTATAAATATTATAGACACCCCCGTGGGTTAAATAATAATCATTCTAGGACTGTAATCAATGGGAAAAATAGGTCAACCCAAAATTATTATAATGGAACTAGAAATAGGAAGTTTAAATATAACTGTAATAAGTCTACTTTTAATGCTTTTAACGATCAATCTAGAAAGGGTATTAACAATAGACTGAGACCCAATTATACTAGCAGACCATTTATCTCTAACCAGCAATATAACATAGGGGACTTAGACTATAACCTAGGAACCCAAATTATGTCTAAACTTTAATTCCTCTGTTTTCCTCTGTCCCTTGATGGGAATTCCAAGAGGCAGTATAAGGAAAAGGAAAAATAAATTTCTATTTTTCTATTGTAAAAGTATAATTTTTTGTTTTTTTTGGGGGGAATCATACATATAATTATATTATGCGCGAATATATAAATTATTTACTTCTGTTAGGTAGCGTCTTTAAAAATATAAATATAAATTGTAATTCACATTTCTCACTGTGTGATTACTCGGAATACATCTAGCAAAAAAAAAAAAAAAACACATATTTCCTTGGAGCCAGACAACGGCCTAGCCAACCGTTTTCCCGTGGGGATCCGTCTATTTTAGCTTTATCGACGGCCACTTTGCCTAGTCTAGCCAGCTAGACAAGTAGGTCCGTTACACTGGTTTAGTCTGTACTGTTTTTTACTGTACTGGTTTTTTTAGGATATAATAATAGTACTATACATAAAGAATATTTAACATAAGGCGATTGTAAGCAATTGGTGTGTTTGAGATGGTTCTCACATCATAGTCTTTACCTATGTAGTCAACATGTTGACTATAAAGAACCGTCTATCGTATGATGCCAAAATAATATTTGTCAATAAATATAAGAAAAACTGTAAATATCAGACTCTAATAATTCACATTTTTTCGATACGATTATTACGGCTGTACGATTTTGGGTTTAAAATTTGAAAAAGTTTACTCATCCACCCTAACAATCATAAAAAATACAACACAAAACTACATGATATTTCAATTTTCAACTTAATTCTGCCGTAGTTTTAAGAAAATGGTCGGATCAACTTAAAATGTATTGATATTATAACACGTTTAAGTGGCTCCCAATAGTGATAATAAAACATTGAAAAGAAAAAAAGATTGGCCTATGTTTTACTATGTTTGTTCACTCACTTCGACTACGCAAATATATCATTATTGATATTAATTCGTTTTTATTCGCATTACTTGTGTATCTAAGTCCTACAGTACATAATATACTCAGTGCATTTTGTTATTGTTGTATCGTGCATACTGTTTTCATGTTTCTATAGGACTTTCTGCCTGACTTTCTGACAGAATAATTAATATAAAAGTACATTTACACGTAAACGAGCTGCGCTCTACTTTAAGAATAAAATCTAAAACCTAATGCTGATTTAATGGTATATCATAAAGTATTATGTACAGAGACACTATGTAAATGTTCATGATATCTACTAAAAGGAATTTAATAAATCAAAGCACAATACATTTTTAAAGTTATAAAAATATTTGATTATAATGTGTAAATAATGAAATTATTAAGAACGTTGAACGAAAATACAAATGAATTCAACTTAAATCGTTTACATTTTATTACTTTTATTAATGTTTGAACAAAACAAATCAATGCGTTAGATATGAATACAATAGTTAAAAATACTATAACGTACATTAACACACAAAAACCAAATGTATAATAATTAATAATTTAATCTCTTTTCTATGGGTCCGGCATTCTGTATTTAAAAAATATTAAATAATAACACATAAAAAACAAATGTATAATAAATAATTGTTTATTCAAACCACAAAAAAAAATTAATAAAAGTATACTTAGTACTTACATATTATGAAGCGATTTCTCTGTAAATAAAATATCACATTATCATACTGTCAATGGTTTTAGCAACTCTATTTACCATTTAATTTTATTAACGTACACCCAAAATATTTTTAATTATAATTTACATTATCAAAACTTGAATGGGGTATTTTATTTACACTATTTATACGCCTTGCGGTTACTCCCATTTAGATAGCTTGGCTGGTTTGCCAACGTTTCGAAACACTTGCATGTTCCATCTTCAATCAACTTTAGAAATCCAAATGGGAGTAACCGCAAGGCGTGCAAATAGTGTAAATATAATTTACATGTCTCCAAATAACTTCGGTGACGAAGCTCGGACAATATATTTAAGATAAATCTGTCTTTATATTAATGATTAATCATTTTAAATAGTTAACACCAGCCACCAGAATAAAAACTTAACTATAATGAGACTTTGCCAAATTTGCATTTAATATAAGCGTAGTACAATATTATAAAAAAGCTTACTACAATTCTTGCATTCTGAAACAAAAAATGTTTATTCAATTACTAACTGAGTTATAAAACATCAAAAAATTAGTATACTTAAGTATAATATTGCACATGGATTTAATAACTGAAATATATTTTGGGTAAATTAGGATTGCTTCTAAAGATTTCGGATTTATGTACGTTGTCTTTTTTTAAATACGATTTTTTGGAAATTTATCATTAAAACATTTTTTTTTTATCAAAAATAGTATTACGAGTATATTAGTCAATATCGATTAAAAATATCATAAACACAACTATAGATTACTGAGATGTTTTTTTAATTTAAGTATATGGTCGTTTCAAATTTTAAGTAAAATAATTCAGTACGACGTATATAATATATTAATGTAGAGTATATAAATGAAATATATTAGTTCTTACTTTGGTGGTTTTTATAGTTTTCAGCTAAAATATGAAAAACTATAATATATAAATATTAGGTAAAGTACAAAACATAAATATTAGGTAACTATTATTGTAAAGAAGTATAACTAAAAAAAAAATTAAACCAATGCAGTAAATGCATCACGAACATAAATATATATATATATATATTTATACAAAAATTATATTATATGAATTGTATTTAATAATTAACCGATCGGAATGGAAATATTATCACAACACATCTCCGACTATTCTACATGTTCAATGGAAAATCTCGTTTAACTTTGTATAGTTAGTAAGTTATATTTTATTCACATACTTTTATTAAAAATAAAAGCAACATTTTAATTTCAAAAAATGTTTGATTACCTTTACAATGCTTGCAATCTGAAAAAAATGTGTTTATTTAATAACTCAAAAAAATTAAAATTAAAGGAATTAATTAGTTTACATTTGAAAGGTAAAATTATAGATTTTTTTCTATTCTATCTATTAATTAAAATAACGATGGTTTGGCCTTAATTTAATTGAATTATTTAACTGAATCCATTGTTGCTTGGATAATGGTATAATCTTCTAACCATAGTACTTTTATAGAAAGTTTTATATGTATGAAATTAGGTGATTTTGCCTTTGCTATAGACATAAAATGTTTGGTTAACATTTAATTATACAGGGTAGCCCACAAAGATTTGACAAATGAAGTAACTTTTGTTCTAATGAATATTTTTGAGATTTTTTTTTAAAAAATAATTTTTACTCACTTGCGCTATAAGCACCGTAGTTTTTATTGCACTTACCTGTTTTACTTTTTTTTTTTTTAAACATATTTTTTTTTTTAATAGCCATATATTTTAAAATAATATTTAAAAAAAAATGTGTATTTTTATTCATCCGTTCAAAAGTTATATTCATTTGAAAGTGAGGATGACTGGTGCCGGGAGGCGGAGTGCGGTAGGTAACGCGCGCTGATAAAAATAAATCTACGCGGTTTACTCTACCGCTCTCCACCTCACGTCAGTCATACTCACTTTCAAATGAATATAACTTTTGAACGGATGAATAAAATACACATTTTGTTCACCAATTCTTTTTTAAAAATTATTTTGAACAAAATGGCTATCTTGAAAAAAATAAAAATATGTAATAAGAAAAATAAAAAAACTATTAAAAAAAGTAAAACATTTAAGTGCAATAAAAACTACGGTGCTCATAGCGCAAATGAGTATAAATTATTTTTAAAAAAAAGTCTCAAAAATATTCACTAGAACAAAAGTTATTTCATTCGTCAAATCTTTGTGGGCTATCCTGTACAAACAAAGTTGTAAGCCTAACAATAAATCCTTATTACATCATTTACAGGTTAAGAAATACAAAAAAAAAAATCATTGTATAGTTATTAGATTTTAAAACATATTTACCACTCATAGGTACCCCCCAATTTTAGATAACAACTAATACTTATAATACCTAATCCGTAACATTTACTAAATATACATATATACATACGCATTATTGGCGGTAAAACACCTATAATATAAACAAGTTAAATTGATAAATTAAAAAAACACACAAAAGATATTTGTTTTTTAATATTTTATAATTGCGTATTTGTTGTAAAATAAATTACTATGCACAAAAAATAAACATTTTTGTAAGCTTTTTGCTTTAAGATTATTTTATTCTTTGAATTCTTGACAAGATCTGTTGTGCAATAGACTGCGAAAAAATATTTTTTTCCGTCTCTAATGTTGTCCCACAATAAAATATTTTACTTACTGCTAAAACGTAATGTTTCATAGATTATTATCTAACAGCAATAATGTTTAGAAAAAAAACTAACGTATCAAATATACATTATATATTTTTTTTTATTATGTATGTTCATGCTTTACAAAACTCAATACACAACCTAACATAAACCAATCATAGTTAAAAATCATAATGTAAGAATCATCATTTAATAGCGGCTCTAGGACAACAAACGGATTATATTAATTATGGACATTTATATTTCAGAGTTTCAAACACTCCAAAAATCCAAATTATGCAATTATATAAAAAATAAATAGATATTCGCACAAAAAAACTTCAAAAGCATAAATACCTTGAGGTTGACGATTTTCCATACCCCATACTTTTCCAAAGAGTTCCTTGTATTTGTAACCAGTACTATCTCCTAAATTTAGTAAGTGTTATTAATAAAAAAATAATACACGTTTCAGTCAGTTTCATAAAATAAATGGTTTTCGTACATAATAAAATGAAATAAATAAATTAATAATATAATCATACCTCATCAGCCTTAATTAAATTATCACCATTAACGCATTGTTAAAAAAATAATACAAGTTTATCTGTGAGTTGATGATGAAAACGCTCATTTTAACATTCAAGTAGCCAATCAAACACAAATGATATTAATTATTTAATAAAAATTAACAATAAGTAATTAGCCAACTAAATGAAATTACTGGTACTTTACTACTTATAATTGTTTAAATTGATGAGATTTATTTTTTTTAATGTTTCGACAAGACAAGAGTTTTCTATAATTAAGTAAGCTATAATAGTTACAGTATACATACTGACAGCGTCGCTAATACGTTTTTGTTCTTCTTTTTCGAGTTCTGCATACAAAAAAATTGTATTTATACACAATAAAAGCAAAAGAAGTAGATTACAATATGTTTAAAAACAAACTACAAGATTTGCATTTTCTGGTATAAACCAAACCTTTAATCGAAAACGAAACATGTTTTTTTCATATCACACTAAACGGTACATTTAGTAGAATTTTCCATAGTTAACTTAATACAATGTACAGCATTTAGACAGTGCATTTTCAGTACAACACAGTTGTCTCCACAGTTTATTAATTTTCTCAAAAATCGTTTAAAAAATTACTATTATTATTTTTTAAAATTATGAATAAAAGGTTAAAATGAAATTCGTTTGACGCTTCATAAAAGTGGATTGTTCCAAAGATGTACACTGGCCTTACAAAAATTTAGGAAGCTTCATTGTTATCTTGAATAGGTTAAAACTAAATGTATGAATTACCCTCTTGGTTGGAACTTCCTGGAACGGCTGTAATAAATTTAATATATTGACGCATTTTATCAAAGATTTACACTAAACGGACATTTAGTAGAATTTTCCATAATTAACTTAATACAGTGTACAACATGTAGACAGTGCATTTTCAGTACAACACAGTTGTCTCCACAGTTTATTAATTTTCTCAAAAATCGTTTAAAAAATTACTATTATTATTTTTTAAAATTATGAATAAAAGGTTAAAATGAAATTCGTTTGACGCCTCATAAAAGTAGTTTTGTTTCGAAGATATACACTGGCTTTAAAAAAATTTAGGAAACTTCATTGTTATCTTGAATAGGTTAAAACTAAATGTATGAATTACCCTCTTGGTTGGAACTTCCATTAACGGCTGTAATACATTTAATACATTGACGCATTTTAATCATACAAATTATTTAAATAATTATTACATAGCATATTACAATGATTAAACAATTTGTATATCATTATTTTGTAACATTATAATATAATAAATTGGCAAAACACTAAAATATATGTTACCTGTAATTGCTATTAAGATAATAAGTGAGACGATGGTCATTGTAATGATTTTTTTGGAATCCATCTTTATAAGCGATTATTACAAACTGAAAATTGAACGGCTCAAAGAATGAATAAAAAATATCATATTCTGTGTAATTTATATTCTTACTTTAGCCAAAAACAAACATTTTTTTCTGGGTCAAAAAGTTGGTCGCTTCAAACTATTTACATTAAATGTACATATTTCGCAGATATCCGTAGTTTGGTTAATAGCACAATAACATATTTTGTAAGTCTGTGTAAATATGTTATACTTAAAATACAATATCTAGAAATACGAAAAAACATGTTTTTCTGGGTCAAAAAGTTGTTGGCTACAATATATTTACATTTGTATATTTTTTGCAGATATTTGTAGTTCGGTAAACAGCACAATACTATATTTTAAGTTCATGTAAGTATGTTATACATTAGAAACAATATCTTGAAATAAGAACAAAATAAAATTTGCGTCACTTTAATTTGACCAATTATTTTTTTGTTTTTAGCCGTTGTAGGTAAAATTCTTAGATTTATTTTCTAAATCAATTAAATAAATTTTATTTAAGATTAATAAACACATTTTTTTTTTTAAAATAACTCAATAAAAATTGTCTATAATCCTAAAAATTTGTAACACTTTCATATCCGCCTTATCAACATGTTATCTGTGCGCACTAATTTCTGTTTACTAAAAATAATGGGATCGTAGCATTTAACTAACCCATCAATAGTTTTTTTGTGCCAGTAAAATTTTAAAAGATAACAAAAGATGAAATTAAATTTTCAATCGTATTTATTTACTTTATTGACAGGGATGTCCGGATTTATCAAACATGATATTAGGTCAAATTGATTTTTTATCCTAAATAACAAAACTGTAATTTTTCATACACGTTGTTTAAGAAGGAGATATGTACATGTTTTCTTACAGTTGTTTATTCTTAATAATATATCCAAATTATTTGTCAATTTCAGGTTGAAGTATCCAAGAGGTTGGTAACTACAGACATTGGATTTCAGTCCCATCCATAATATACACCACTTTAGTACTTTTGTAATTTGTACCATAGATATATTATTATTTGGGGGTTTCCGCACAAAATGTAATAAACTATAGGTTGACTTTTTGATCAAGTTATTTATTTTTAAGGACTTAACAAATGCCGTGATCGTGACTCGTGTGCATATTATTTGATTCTCTTCGTAAAATAGTTTAAGAAAATTGATGATTTTATGAATAAATAACTCATTTTAATGTTGGGCTTACAATTCAATAATTTATTTTTCATTTTATATACCTATAAAATAAATAAAAAAACGTAAAATGAAATGTCGACATATTAAAAAGATTTTAGGAGGCAAAACATAGAGTAATAATGTGATAGTGAAATTAATTATGACACTAGTAGAGTGTAAATAAAAAATGTAATTATTGTAAATAGACATCCGAAGGAATAAGGTATAGTGTATAACCTATACTGTGTAGTTATAAACAAAAATAATAAACTTTAATTTTATAGAAGAATTGAGAACATATCAACTAAGCATTAAAAATTATGTACAAATTGATATTAAAAAAATGATAGAATATTAGAATGATATCCCGAAGAGTATTATTGGTCGTACGAAAATATCAATGTTGCTGAGGTTAATATTGATTACATGAGACTAATGCTCTCTTGGATAGGGATAGGTTATGATCAGATAAATAGAATTTCGATCATTTTCCAGAGTAATAAGAGCAAACAATTATATAAATAAGTCTAGGATAAGTAATTAGTTGTTCCCATACGTGTATATTAGAAGAAAACTGTCGTGGAGAATAAATAATTGTAATTTATGGCAATGGATAAGCGCCCTAATAATTATAAAATTATATCCTTTCAGTATATAACCCAGAATGTACTATATATTTTCAACAATTCAGCATTTTCAAGGCTGCTGTAATATTCACAAATAAGAATAATTATCTATTCGAATTGTAACTTATAACGCCCTACATGCTTTTTGCTAAAGCCGGCGTGGAACAATTTTTTTTTAATATTTACAAATTCAAACGAAAAAGAACAATGTTTATACAGTAATTGACCTATAAAAATGTAATAAAACATTAAATCAGAAATTTGGTTTTTGTTCGCTTTAGGTACGTCCAAATGCTTACAATTATTTATTTTTGTCTTCGGAAATATTTTTTTGATAGAATAAATACAAAAACACATTTACAACGTAAACCAGCTGCCGTCTACTTTAAGTTTAGTTTCAAAACCATAAGCTACTGCTAAAAAACAAATAAAGAAATCGATTGTCCCAGCTTTTTTATCAATATATTGACCTAAATTTACATGATTTTCATGTCACCATCAAACTCTATCCATCTAAGTAATTTCTTGTATTTATACATATTTATACTTAATGGATTGAATTTTATCTAATAACATCTGTATTTAGTTGAGTTGTATTTAATATGCGGAGCTGACTAGTATTATAGTGATTTTTAACTATCATAGAAATAGTACAGTAATATCTTTAAAGTCTTATAGAAAAATAATAGGCTAGAATTTAAAAATTGAGTTTTGTTATTGCTGAACTAGTTTTTTAATAACACATTGGCAAATTTTATTACTATACATCCTTCTTTACCGATAGCGAAATAAAATGATTTACAAATATTTTTAATTTCTTTATGGGTTATAGCAGTATAGTATAAAGAATCAAACTTTTCAAGTCGACTAAATAAAATGTATTTAAATCGTTTAAGGTCACCCAATAGTAAACTTATTTCTTACAGTTAAAACAAATATAATTTATAGATAATATACAATTTAATATAACTTTAAAGAGAATACATTGCTATTAAAATTATTATTGAAAAATATGACAAAAAGGTATTTTTTAGTACAACACTTTTGTGTTTTACTTAAAGTGATTTATATGATAAAACACATGACTTGTTGCGTCGTTTTAGTACAATATTTGTGTAGTCAATTTTGAGATTGAAGAATCCGGATGTTGCAGACTACGGAAATTGGGATTTTAAACCCATTTATAATATACACCACTTTAGTAGTGTTTTTATTTTTGTCGTAGATATATTATTATTGTGGCGTTTCCACACAAAATATAATACACTATATTTTGGCATTTTTATCAAGTTATTACCTTTTAAGGGCTTAACAAAAGTAAATAGTTGTTTATTGCTCCGAATATTATTGGTCGTGTACTATATTTTATTTGATTCTTTTCATAATAGAAAACTATTGATTATTTGAATAAACAACTCAATCTAATGCCGGTTAAAAATACAATCATTTTTTTTAGAATGATAGGTATTTTCATAAAAACAAATTAAAAAAAATATATACAGGGTGATTCTAAGTCGAAATTTGTAATACATTATTCTCTATTTAAAAATGTAATACAATATACACGTTAGGTACCCTTTAAGTCTCAAAAGTTGCTATCAAAAAATCTTAGTTGGGGGGGGGGTAAACACAAAAAATTTTTTTAAAAATTTAGAACACATTGTATAAAAACAAAATGAAAAAAAAATTAAATTATTATTTAAACCTATATCGACTGGTTCGTGATAAAAAAATCACTCTGTATGTATGGACATTAAAATAGGTGTAGGGAGGCAAAACCTGATACAAGTGGGCTTACTATAAAATATTTTACGTGCAAGTGCAGTTGGAAAATATCGTTACGATAAATCCATCATGAAGCTATTCTTAGAGGGTAGATACTATTGAGTTGCATATCTAATATTAAAAAGTGCTTATGGTAATAGTATACTAGACTAAAGCTCGTTTAGGGAGAAGAGAGGTCTATGATCACATAGAGGGAGGAGTGTTTTGTGATAAGAGAGATGGCATGACAATACATTCCTAATGTTATGAGAAGAAGCAATTGTATAAATTAGTCTAGAGTAAAAACGTAATTGTTTGAAATTTAATTGTTTCCATACATTTATAGTAGAAGAAAACTGTCGTGGAAAATGTTTAAAATTTGATTTATTGCAATGGCCAGACACCTTCATAAATATAATTTATACGTATAGTATATTACCAAATATATACTATATTTCTTTAATAATTCTAAATTTGATGGCTGCTGCAATATTTATAAAAAAAAAACAACTTGGTTATTATGATTTTAAATGATTATATATTGATCGTAAAGTTGTGGTAACGGCAAACATATTTTTTTTTAATTTACAAATTTTAACGAAAAATAACTGTGGGTATACGAGGACGGCAATCATAAAATTGTGCTCACAAGTTAAAAAAATTAATAAAGCCAACTTTGGCCTACTTAAATTTCGGGATAAATATCCGGATCGAGTTGAAATTTATAAGGAATATATATGTGTTGTATCCCTTAAGTCTACAATACAGCCATTTCCTATTCACCACACCTATTTAGATTATAGACAACGCTTCGATTCGAATCTGTGGATACTATGCTGATTTAAACTGCACTTGATTTAGTCTGTGCTGGTCTTTACTGTACTAGTTTTTTAGGACATAATAATAGTACTATACATATAGCGATTGTTGTAAGAAATTAGTGCGTTTGAAATGGTTGACATGTCATTGTCTTTATATAGTCAATGTGTTGACTAGTCCTATGAGTGATAATAAAATAGTAAATAGAAAAAAATATTGGTCTATGGTTTTTTGGCCAATGTTTTATTAAGTCAGGTCACTCGCTTCGGCTACGGAAATATAATACCATCATTGCTATAAAATTGTTTTTATGCAAATTACATATGTGTCCAAGTCCTAATGTATGTATGTATACCCAGTGTTCTTTGTTATATTTGTAATGTGCACATGGTCTTCATGTTTCTATAGCTTTTTTTGTCTGCGAGAATATCATTCTGATAGAATAAAAATAAAAACAGATTAACACGTAAACGAGCTGTGCTCTACTTTAAGTATAAAATCCAAAAGCTAATGCTAATAATAAATACATGAATTGATTATGATAACCTAAAGTTATCTCTGATATCCTAAATTTTACTCGTTTCATTTAGAAAGTTTCACAATACATTATTCCAATAACCTCCATAATAATAA